CAAATCTTTTATATTCACATTTTTATTAGAAGCAATAAAAATATCCTGAAAGGCAACATTTGTTATTTCATAGTCTCTGTCGAGGCAGTAAATGCAGTTATCGTGTTTCGATTAAATTAATCCAATCTTTTTTAATTACATCGCTAATTTCTTTGAAAAAGTGGTCCCTCTTCGCTTGCTTAAGTCCATAATTGGTTTCATTCAACTTAAATATCCTCTGTAACACACCAGTCAATAAATTCGTAAGACGGCGTATGGGAATGTTTTAATGCTCCAATATTTCATGACATTTCGATCACCTTTTACTCTGGGTTTATTTTGCCGTGTAACAGCGAACATTTAACTATCGATTGAAACGGATTCATAGTTTAATTTAGTATAGTCAGAATATAAACGTCCATATATATATTAACGTCACTATAAACTTCAAATCCTAATTCATCGCCAGTACTGCCACTACTCCTCAATTCTTCACATATTTTTTTTTATTTGCAACAACGGGTTTGTAAATTCGAATTCAGAATATAACAACAGCAGATGAACTCAAAACTAATACGCTTTGCTCACAAATAAAAGACAAAGACAACCTAAACAGCTGATTTATTAGAATTTGCATTAGTTTTCCTTTTCTAAGCCAAAGGTAACAGTTCTTTTCCATTACATAGACAAAGCTATCGTGAACAGATTCCATTATTTCATAATTTGTTAAAAGAATGATTAAAGCTGTTCTTGTCCGTATGTTGTGAACTGAAAATTATTTGCATTGCCTCTATAGCAGTGCGATCGGGTTTGATAAGAACTTTTTATTCGGCTTCGCCCGATAACACTTCGAATTTAAAGGGCTTAATATCCTACTGCGTACATCGAGGCATAATGTTTCTATTTAATGACCGCTTTACCTACAAATTATTTAATCCCTTTTATTTCGCTTCTAAAAGCATTAGCGATTATTGTCAGTTATCCGCCTTTTCTTAGTCGGTCAGTCAAATAAAAATGTAAAAGAAATGGCAATCGATTCATCATAATATGAATTAAACCATTTTCTCGTCAATTAATTAATTATGTAAATATTCAAGTATATATTAATTACATTATTTGTTATATACTGCCAGTTTATACATAACATATAATATAAGTAACTCTAACCTTTTTTGTATAGTGCTAGTAACTACTTTCTCTCAACCACATAATGAAATAAGTCAACAAACATCTAAACAAATATTCACATGAAATCTCATAACGACTGCCTAAAATTTTTGTCCTTCTTTTTTTCATACGGTTTTCCTTCTATAAATTGGGAAAACCGATATCAAAATTTTTTCATTTACAAAATAATACGATTACATTGCGTCACCCAATATGTGTCCAGTCTAATATCAACTATTGCTCCTATTGCACAAAGGCCGTAATATTCCCCCTCGGCCTTTTTGGCCGCTTTAGACAGCTTTCGACGATTGTTGTCCACCCGGGTGACTGCCAATTCACATCTCGCATGAAAAGACGCTGTAAAATACGTAATGCTTAGTTAAATTATATCTTTGAAGATCTACAGTTTATATGAGTCACGTAAACGTGAACGTTGCAATTCGTATAAAAGGCACTCACATGTCGAAACACAATTTCGATAATAGCGTCTTCTAAGTCGATAGCTTTCGTTTTGGATCGTGCAAACATTCCGACAAAATAAATACATCACCATTCTTCAGCGGTGAGTGTAAAAACAACGCCAACCAATCAAAAGTGAAGAAACCATGCGACCCCTCGCTAAACGCTATTATACCCGAAGCAAAGTAGCATGAGCCACGGCCTAAGAGTTCCATACAAGTTGTGCTGCTTTTCTGCTTTATCCCATTGGATCTCAATTTTTCGTTTGTAGTGTACTCAGCTATCGAATTACGTTTTGGTCGTTGAATCCTTAATAAAATGAAACTATGCAAGTTCGTTGCTGGACTTACCGAAGCCTTGTTTGATCAGATTAAAAATAATTTTTGCTATTACATTAAAAAAGCGTGTCGCCAGTAGTTAAGAGATTGCAAACTAATTTAATATAACGTAACATACAACTACCATTAAATCAATGCTAGTAATCACAAAAATTTTTTTAATGAAGAATGTGTTCACTAGCACTACGAGTGTGGAATTACTAAAGATTGTAATGTTAAATTAATGTGGCCGAAAAGAGCGGCGTAAAGACAAGTAAAATCACTTTACTTTACCACGGCTCGCCATTGAATGCCCTAGGTCATCCTATAATTGTTCACATTTTCAAACTTAGGCGTTATATGTGGTCGAAAGGTAATGCGATCCGAACCTCTTTCAATAGCGCTCGTCCGTTAGCCAAAACGCGTAAGCGCACCAAAACATCTCAAGGAGTACCGTCTACAGGCTAAACAGATGAAAATAAAACCGACAACTTAGATTGAGTCAAAAGTGATTCTGAAGCGATCGGTAATGAAAGGAAGTTCTATCTCAAGTTCTTCCGGCGCATACTTAATATACCCTTACACCACAAGTGGTGTGGAGTATAAAAATAATGCTGCATTAACCAAAATATGCATCCACGACTCGCTACTAGTAAGGCACAACCTGATCCGAAGTTTCATTAAGAACGCAATGCTAACGTTAAGCGTTAATTGCGATTTAAATGAACACAAAAAATAACTTTTAGAAAAAAATACATACAAGTATTTCTGCAGGCATCGAATTTCATGGCAAATAACAACCGCAGAAATCAATCTAATGAACGCGTGCATGCATCCTCATTTTACAACATCTTTCGCTGAATTTCAATGAGGTCATGAAAGAGAAAAAATTCATTTAAAAAATGAAAATATTTCTGCACAATGCCTTTATAATCGTTCCTAACCAATACCAATCATTCATATTCATAGAAACGAGTACAGACGCAAATTCGAATGCATTCATATTAAACGAACGAACAATATCAATATCGAAGTATTTGCGATGTACTACTATAAAAATCCGTAAAAGAAGGAAGAGGAGCGCAATCGTAATAGCACCTTATCCATCATCCGATATCACGGTGCGCGTTATGTTAGAAACGAAAAAAGAAGAAAATAATTTTATTTCTCTTTCCCGAATTCGTGTTTTTAGGTTTTATCCTGTACTTGTCATAATTAGAAAAAAAATTTTGTTGCTCGTTTCTCGGGGAGATGGAAAATATACAAAAGAAACTACTGATTGACGACGAATTGTTAAAAAAGAGAAACTTCTAAAAATATGTGAAATGAAAGAAAAACGCATATAAGGCCAAAACACGTAATCAATAAACTTACAAAGAAAAAAAAAACAACATGCATATATATCCATATTGATGTACATATGTATGGATTCATTATGGTTCAACTAAGATCCTTAAAAGAAAACTGCATACATGAATTATATACTTGTGTGTACAATAAATACAATGCACACGCATCGATGTATGCAGTGTTTATGTTATATACTGGAATATATACATTTTTTTGCAGGTTTCTCAAACCCATGCAGATTTATAGCCTACGAATCTGGGTGTATACACTGACGAATGAATAAGTGTATGCGTATGCGAAATGAAATTTTTGAACCATTTCTTCTTATTTTCGAAAAATGAACGAAATATAAAGCAACTACAATGCCTACCGAAAACTGTACAATTTTTTTGTGTTTGTAGGTACATATATGTACACTGTGACGTGTCAGCAAAACAGAAACTGCTGGATAACTGCACAACGGCGATTACTTTTCAAACCGGACTTTTAAATTTAATTTGTGCTGTGTTTTTCTAATAAATATGAATTTTTACAAGAAACACTGCCGGGGAGTTGTATATGAACCAAAAACAGTGGAATTTTTATAAGAAAAACTGCCTGGGAGTTCTACATACCATTTGCAGCAAGCCTCCAGATAAACGAAAGTCCAATCTGGAATCCATGCTGGAATCGCGTACGAAAACACCCAATTCAGAAGCAGTTGACTGCATGATAGATACACTGTATAGCACTTGCACATATATACAGATGAATGGCTAACAGTAGTAGTAAAAATTCCCATCCAATACACATATGAATGACTCTAAAATGTACCATGGATGGGTTTAAAAGATGAATGAGCACATACGTAGTATATATATATATATATATATATGTATATAAGTATATATATACATAGGCTGACAAACAAAAATTCAAATTTCGAACGAAATTTGTTTTTTCACACACACACAAAATTCGCTTGCGGAGAATGTAATTAGATTGTGTTCGTGTGTGAACATGCTACTGTTTTGTTGTTGTTTCATGTTTTTGATGGTCGGCCGTGGGTCGGTTGGTCTGGTTGCTCACTACACTTCATGTTGTTTTGTATTTTTTTAATTTTGTTTTTGGCCATAGGTTTCGTTTTTTGTTTTTATTGCGGAGTATAGAGTATGTACATGCAGAAAGCAATTTTTCCTTTCCATGCATGTTTGAGCGTCCAAACACACATCAATTTAACGAGCAGCAAGTGTTATATGTCCGCTTACTCCGCCATGTTTTTATAGGCATAGGCTTATCCCGCATTCTCTGTATGCTTATATATCATGAATTTGCCTGTTTGTTTAGTAGTTGTGTAAAATACAACAATAAAAGCAACACAAATAAATGTACCACATCAATATTGAAAGCACAACAACACCCTTTATAAGAACAAACTGGAATATCAAAATTTATAGTTCATATTGCGGTCACATGGAGATCAATTCAAAGAAGAAAAAAAGCAGAAAACATGTATTTAGACAAATACATGAAAAATTACATTGTCTGCAATCGTCTCTTTCAAGTGCGTCCGATGACGAGACCTTTGAACTTTCAACCGTATTAAAATTCGCTTTACTTGTGCCTTGAAGGTGGCTGCTTAGTTAGTTAAAGCCATGATCACGCTCTTTTCGAAACCACCTGGCAATATATATAATATACCTAAACTTCCAGACTAAGGGTTCCAGAATAAAGGGGTCGGTAATAATGTCCAGTATCTAAATCATTTTTACTAATTTTTAGCAAATATGTATAATATAATATATAAGTGCTCAATAGAGAGAAATTCGCTATCATTTGGCAAGGCGTCGTCGGGTTAACGGTGTTGTGGGCGTTGGCGTAGGGGGTTTAGAAACCTGAAAATTAAACACAATTCTTGCAAGAGCTTCAGTTTCTCAAAATATACAAGCGTAGTGTTTACCGATCGTATGGGCTTTGGTGTCATCGAATTTGCCGGCGGCGGTTCGCGTGGTAATGGCCCATTCTCACCCCCCACTATTGTTACAGCTACAGGCCTTTGTTCGCTGGGCGCTCGCTCAGTACTGGCACTACGTGATGTTGAGCCAGAACGTTTGAACATGCCGGAAAATCGGTTACGCAAATCTTTCTTGCTCGCTCTCATATCGCTTGCTACACTAATGTCGGAATCTGAACCTTGAATCTGAATGACAACGTTAACATGGTCAGTTGGTTTGAAAGTTTCTCGTACGTTAAGACGGGCACTTACCGATATTTCGCTTTCGGAATTACGGCTGCTCATAGTCAAACTTCTTAATTTACCGATTAAACCCTTCTTCTTTTTGCGCGGTCCTCGCGGTATATCACTTTGCGTCGAGCCTCCAGATAAACGAGAGTCCAGTCTGGAATCCATGCTAGAATCACGTACCAAACCACCCAATTCAGAGTCAATTGACTGCATGGAAGATACACTACCCTCATCCTGACACCATATATTCTAAAATATTGATAAGTTACGATAAGTAGGCTTTATATAATTAAAATTTCAACCTACTTGATCCCTTTGTATAGATTGATCTAACGATAGACTTTTACGCATAACGCTGCCGTTAGTAGTTGTCCGTGATAATTTTACACCATTACGTTGTAAGCTCATTGCGCTAGCTACAGAACTTTGACTTCCGTGGGTATCATTCTCTTGAGATGCCGCACGTCTCAAATTTCGACGCAGACGAGAACGTTCATGTTCCTCTTCGTTTATACGTTGGAATTTCCTAAACTCCTCTGATGCTTCTGCTAAACGTGCCAGCTTATTACCTACATTTAAGGTATTCAAAGATGGTGACGGACTTCTACTCCTTTTAGCAGCAGCAGCTGCCTGCGTACAAGGCTTTAATTCATTGGGACTTCTGCCGATTTCCACTTGATTTAAGTTTGGAGCTATTTTTAAAAGCTCATCCACCGTATGGAGTAGGCTGCCAATTTTACGCTCACCGCCTTCTTGTTCCATGCGGCGTTTTATCAGCTCCTTTTCATAACGTTCCCTCTCACGCCTTAGTTTTTCATTTGAGGTTCTTAACTTGGCGTGAACGTCACGTAGCTCTAGTAAATCACATTGCAATTCAGCAATTTTTTTGCGCCCTTCTTCCATTTCCTCTTCATTGGCCCGCTTCAGTTGATCTGTACGACGTTTCGATTCTAACCGTTCCTTATCCCGTTCACGTTCTACCTCAAATAAAGTTTGACGCAAGTCACGAGCCAAAGTTGAGGTCTCCTGTAGCAATCGTTGTTGTTCTTCGCGTTCCTTTTGCCACGATAATTCTAGCTTAGTCTTCATACCCGGTATTTTAGTTCGACCTGAACCGATAACACGTTCTTCCTCAAATTCATTGAGTTTTGATTGCATTTCAGATATTTTAATTTCATTTGCACTACGTTCCGAAACCAGCTCAGTTTTCACTTTGCTAACCTCCAGGCGCGACTCAACTAACTGATCTTCCAAACAACCAATCTACGAAATGAAGAAAACTCAACTAAAGATATCGACTGAATTCTTCACGGATACCTGCTGTTCCAAATAAGCTATTTTGCTCTTGTCGTCCTCATCGCTGCTATGCATAGAAGTTCGACTTTGTCGTCCGCTACTGTTAGCTTTCAAGTCGCCTATTTTTTTTTGGGCCGACTCAAGCATTTGCTTAAAGGCATCGCGATCCTTTTTAAAACGTTCACATTGACGCTAAGTAAAATATTGAAATAATGAATGAATAAAATACCCTTTGTAGCGAATTTTAATTTAAAATAGATGTATAAGAGATATGCAGTTTTATAATTTTGGGCCAAACATATCTTTATTTATAATTCCAGTAAATATTGATACGGAATTTCAGACAAATCTCTATTGGTATTGTAGGTCACTAATTAGTTCACGAGTTTTAGTCAAGAATATCAACGTCAAGCGTTAGCTTGCCATGTCAACAGATAGACTAGTTAATCGAGGATGGCCGAAAATCAAGTCAATATATGTCTTAAGCGATAATGCGTATACTTGAATGTTATAAACGGAATATTGAAAACTGTCAGTATCTTTAAAGTTAAAAAATTCTATACTAAAAGGCAAAAGTAAGAATATGTTACCAAGACTTACATGCATGGATGTCAATTCCGTACTCAAATTCTTAACTTGTTGTTCATAACGTAAACGTGTAGCTGCAACTTCGGATTTCATTTGCAATTCAGTGTTTTCTAATCTAAATAGTAAAAGTCGCTTTTAAATGAAACTTATCGGAACGAAAAGACTTTTGTGCTTACTGTGTCTTCAATGATTTGACTTCAATTTCTAAAGCAGCATTTTGCGTATTTATTGATGATTGTATTTGTTCTATGCGGCTAAAATCATTAAGCTTTTTATTTAACTCGTCATTATCTTTTCTCAACTGAAAAACTAAGTCAATGTTCATTTCATTCTCCCGCCGAAGGCGATCGTATTCCTGGTTCCGCTCAGCAAGTTTATTCTGTAGCATTGTTTTTTCATAATCTGATGCTCCGAATTTAAGACATTTTTGTTCTAGCTCTTGAATTTTCTTCTGAGCTTCATTTAATTTCTTAGTCAATTCATTGCGGTTCGCTCGGACATCATTTAGGTCAGAGATTTTCTGCTTGGCAACATTTAGTTCGCTTTGAAGATTAGCTTTTTCTGTGGTTAATTGAGCTTTCGACAGTATTGTCTCCTCGGAGAGCTTTTCCCATTGTGAATTCAGTTCAGCACAACGTTTCGATTCAGATGCCAAAGATTCTTGTAAGCCTTCTATTTGTTTTTTTAAATCTAGAATTTGCTTAGAATCCGTTTTAGATCCCTTTGATTTAAGCTCTTTGATTTCCTTTTCTAAAGATTGCTTAGTTTTCTCGGTTATTTTACGAGCAGCTTGTAGTTCTGAATCTTTCGTTACTAATTTCCCTTCAAGCTTTTCACGTTCCTTTCGTTCTTTTTCATAGTCCTTCTCCAACTTGACAAATTTCTCTTTATCGGCTTTAGTTTGCTGCTCCAAGAGGCATTTATTGCTTTCGCTCTGTTTAACCTGAGTACAAAACAATATTTTCTTTTCATTCTCTACTTAAACTTCGCATACAAAATTTATTTTACTTTTTCCTTTTCTGTCAGAAATTTATTCGTAAGATGTAAGAAATTCATATATAAGAGTGTTCACTGTCCATCAGTCTAAATTCTTGTACAAAAAAAGTACGAACAAAAATGTTCGAGATACAGCTACAATGATCCTAAACAAAGGGAAGTTAATTGGCCAGAGTGCAAAGGCCGCTACAACATAAATGTAAAAACCCGGGAGCCTTAAAAATAATAAGCTCCTTCCAATAATCACATTCGCAATTCTTCTACGATTAATGATTACAGTACGGAAATAGTAAAAAGGACAAATGCTATTAAAAATAATTCGAATCGGACCACTTATTCGATCAATTGAAAAGTCGGTACAGGTATTGCTTTAGAGTATTTAAAGGTGGCTCGAGGTCTATTATAGAGTTTTTATTTGTTTTTTCATTCTTTCAAATTCACCTCATTGTCCTGCTTTTTAATTTTCTCTTCCAATTCCTTAATTTTGTTATTTAAGCTTCTTGCTTCTTCTTCGGACTTTTTAAGGCACTTTTCTAGGTCGTGCATCTTAGTTGCAGATACTGCAGAGACTTTCACTGTTTCTAAAAAATGAAATGATTTAAACGCTTCCGACGTACCTTGAAAAGTTAACTTTGTTTACACCACTTACGTAGTTCATTTTCAATTTGCTTTAGTTTTTCTTTATACTTGTTCAAATCTTCTTCCATTGATTTTTTTTCCGAAACCAATTTTTGCACGAGTTGAGCATCCGACTTTAACACTATGGCCCTCATCTCGTTGTTCTCTTCGCCTAATTCCTCCAGCCATTTTTTTAGCTGATTTTTAGGTGTTAAGTCTGTTATGCGTATTGCAGTTTTTGGCGGTAGTTTCTCTTCAGCTTCTTGGAGAATGCGTTTTAATTTGGTGCGTAATATATCACGTTCTCCTTCTGCCTTGTTTAGTGTGTCCTTTAGCGTAGCCAACTCTGCTGAATTATTCACTTTTTCTAAAGATGAACTGGAACGTAACGCCTGCAATTGCAGACATTTCACCTCCTTTTGCAAACGTTCGTTTTCACCTTCTAAAGAAGAAAGTTTAGAACTTATTGTCTTTACATCTTGGGAAGCTTGGGACGCTTGCAAACGCCCAATTTGTATATCTTTTTCTTTAAGAGACTTCTTCAATTTATCCAACTCTTCGTTTAGTGACTTTAAACGTTTTTCTGAAGTGCCAAAAGAAGCAAAAGAAGCAAACGAAGTTCGCTTATCGGCAGCAATATCGGAACGTAGATGGTCTTGCAGTTCCCGTATGTGATTTTTGACCTGTGAATTCTCTTTTTCGAGTTCCTCGACTTTCTGGCGTAGAATAGAAGCCTCTTGTTCATTGAGCTCTAACAAAATACGAAGTTCAGCTGGATCATCCTCATCTGAAATGCCTTCATCTCGTTCTGCGTTTATTTCAACCGACACACGAGGCGGTACAGAGCTAAGTTTCTGAGCTAAAATGTGAAATGGAATGAACACATATATATAGCATTAAATTTTTAAGGTTTTAAGCGAATAGCAAACGCATGCATCATTCAAGGGCGATTAATTACAAGGTTAGAGGCCTTTGAGATATAAATTTATTCCAGATCAAACCAATTTTTCTTTTTCATCAGCAGCTGCAAAAAATGGCAATAAGCAGAGCTTAGTGGCAACTAAGCCAAGTAAATATGGGAGCGGCACAACATACAGAATTCAATTAGTAATAACTTTTTAATAAATTTTAATCCTAGTCTAAGCGTTAGTGATCAGCTTTCCGACCTGTATTGCATGTAATACGGAGTGATTTTTGATAAACAAAGAACAATAACAAAGAAACTTTATTCGTACTCATCGTACTTCTAGAGCGTGTTGCCATTTTTTTCAACTGCATCATAAGAGAATCATTATCATCCTCCATACGAGCGACTTTTTTCCTTAAATTTTCAGCCTGTAAATTCAAGACAGAAACGGAAGAAAAAGAGAGTAGAAGAACTTAATGACGTTCACATATAAAGCAACAGTAATAACATGTATGTATGTAAATTCAAGTTTGATCCAATTGGTGTGATAAGTTGAGAATGCAACGTCAACCGGTTAACAAATTACATGTAAATGGATCAATAAGTACACGCATTGCGTGTGATCACAGAAATTTAAACCAGAATTACATACAGTGTTTTTAAACTTGACCAACGTTATTAAAATGCACTCATTTCTTCTTTCCCAGATAAGTTGCTGTTCTTTCTAATGTTTGAGTAGAACAACTCCAAAGTACCGTGATATGAACAATCCACCCGCCTTGAGCTCATTAGTATCAATGATGAGATAATCACTTCCCATAAAATCAGCTGCTTGTATTGTTCTATACTTCTTGAGTTTCTTCTTTACTCGCTTTACTCTTTTGCGTTTGCATTCATTAGTCCCGAATAAAGCCTTCAAAAAAAGTGCAAAGGTACGGATGTTTCATCTTTTTCAGAGAAAAACGTAACTACAACTTCAGAAAACAAAACTATAATATCATCGTCTTTAATAATCGAGCGAATTTCATAAATAAACACTTGGAAATGTCAAGCCAGATTATGGTTTAATTTCGTTGTTGCAAACGGAAATGCACACTGTGCCCTAACGCCACAGGCAATATTGTGAAAGGGAACATCCGCTTCACCTTGCAAGTCCAAATTGCGGCTGGAAAGAATTGCCGTGTTGTAAGTGGTGTATACAAGTTCAGTAAAGCAAGAAGCGGTCAGTCTAGTCGAACCAATGTTATTTTCACTTGCAATAGGTAAGCGAGTAACATTTTCAGTTGATGTGACATGGTACAAGTGTAAAGATGAACCTTATATTTTAAACCAAGTGGGATGAAAACCGTCTGTCCCGCAAAACACGAATTCATGGCTATTAAAGTTAACCGGGAACTTCATCTTGTGGACCTTATGTGATAGTGAATTTGCTTTAAAGTCAAAGCAAGAAAAAATCCCTAGATCTGTACTGTAACAAAGTTGACTCTAGTTATCTGAAAAACTTGCGGAGACCTTTAGCATTGCTCCCATACAAAAAATGTAAGGCGCCACCACTGCCTCAGAATACCGCGCAGTTTTTTTTTTGCTTCCCGCTCAAAAACAGAGAATATTGCACCGTCTACAACATTTTCATATCTTGAATTAATTGCAGAACAACAAATGAAATGTATATACAATAGCAGCTGATTCTGTAGTGCGCATATAGCCAAAGCAATGTGTGAAAAAAGTCAGATGATAATTCTTTAACTTTAAATTGAAAGAAGTTTCCACACCCATATACATTTCCGAGCCGTCCTAAACTGTAAAAGATTATCCGAAAGTTTATCAATTTCATCATACTTTGTGCCAATTTAAAGTCTTTCCTTCTAATGGTTGTTGATTGTTCTCTATCATGTTTTTGTGCCCTACACCTTTTGTAGTATAGAGTAAGTTAAACCCATTTATGTAACACCAAAAAATCCTTAAGAAAGGCCCACCATTAATCCAGAATCATATTCTAGAGTCACAATTTTCGAGATACTTTGGCAACATTTGATACACCGACCAAGGCACGAACCATGTTAACAATAGCTCGGGTCGGGTCATTTTTCCGATCGCTCCTCATATAACGCCTTTTTCAAAAAAGTTCTTTTATGCACCAAGATGGCAATTTTTGAAATCTCGCAATAAAAACATTTGAGTTATCGTATTTTGCCAGCCTAAACTGATGCAAAAATTTAGATCGATACCATTTCATTCCATTCTCATATAGAGCTGTTTTCACCAAAGACCAACATTTGTACGGGAAAATGGGCTAATTTTTTATATGACAGTGATAATAAGCTACTAATATTAATATTAACTTAACATAAATATAAACGGTACTAGGTTTGGATCATGTAGATCCATCTTCTTCACCTCGCCCCATATATAGGTTGTGGTAAAAACTAATCATGACAAAAACGTAGAGACCTTTTTTTATTTTAAGATGAAAATTGAATGAATTAATGAAAACTAGACTGTATTTGGGTTATGTCAGGCTTAAATAGCACCTTGCCGTGATTGAACAATCTTGAAACACGTGTACTTATTGGTCCAAGATCAATATTACAAAATGTGCTTATTAGTACATGATGAGAGAAAGATGCACAAAAAGAAACTAAGGGGAACTGCCACAAAAAAAAATTATGCCGGTATTGATGAATATGCTATACCTGCCCCATGACAAGATCTAGATCTAAGGGCACGAGAAATAACATTTGGAAACAGCAAAGATGACTGAGATATGGAAGGAAACGAGAAAGTCCGTAAACTGGTCACTGATGGTATGATAACAGAAAGTGTTGAATCCTCTTTGCTCAAAGCTCTAATTGTTTTTTGCATATCCCAAACCCCTACCGGTAAAGCCACGGGGGTCACATCCTCTGTCGCCACATAGTTTATATTTATATTTTGCGGCTCAGGCATTAGCTTCATATTATAACTATCATCAATTTGAGCGTAAACGTCTTGCTTTTCTTTTGAAATCATCTGAGTGGCATGAGAAAAGCAGGCAATCTCACTGCCATCATCAGTTTGTAAACAAACGTCAAACATTTCTATAAGTTCTGTTTGTGAAGCTCGTGGAAAATGTAAAATTTCGTTACTTTCCCACGATGTTTGAGTTCCCTGATTGGTATCATTCCTCGCCTTTAATGGCCGTGTCCACAGTTTCTTGAACACATTTTTTTAGGAATAAAATTATGAATTTATGCTTATGATCATGAAATCCCACAGAGTGTTGTTTTTTAATAAACACTTACTTCTTCTTCAGCGAACTTCAATTGGTCCTTAAGATCGGATTCACGTTCTACAGAGTCTTGCAAATCTCTTAATAATTGCTGAGGATCTTCTTGGGACCCCCCTCTGGTTAAAGATTCCCTTGTAATGCGACCATCGGCCGAAGTTGATTTACCCAATACACCTAATGTGGGTGTTTTTTTCTTACCTGGATTTCGCAACTCTTCAGCTTCAATCTGTAAAAACAAAATTGTCTTAAATACTTGCGTTGAGTTTTTTTCTTTTTGTTCTTACTTGTAATTTTTTGGTTAATTCATTTGAAAATCGTAGTTCCTCCTCCAATTGTTTGATGCGAGCATTTAGCCCTTCGTTACCGCTATTTTGCCGCTCCTGTTCTAGCGTTTCAATCTTTCGTTCACATTTCTTTAGTTTAAAACTTAAAATGCGACAATTCTTAGTAGTCTTCTCCAAATCTTTTTGTAAACTAGTTTTCGCCTTCGCATCATCTTCGCGGAAAGTATCTTGCAATTCGTCCATTTCAGCTTGAAGATTTACAATTTCGGTTTTAGCCTCTTGATTTTCTTCCATTAGCTCTTCACAGATTTGTTCTGCCGCCTGCAATTTTCGTCTCAGCTCATGCTCCGTGCTTTTGGGATTGTTCTCCAAATCTTTCATTCGCGTATTTAGTTTACGCTTTTCTTCACTTATCTTATCCAATTGATCTTTCAACTCATTGACTTTTTTTTGTAGCATTAAAGCCTCGGACGCAGCTGTACGATTTGGTGCAGTTTCCATGGAAGCCAAACGTCTCAACAATAAATCGCTCTTTTCTCGCTCAGCCTTTTCAGCACGTGTCTTCATCGCATCGAATTCTAAACGTAGATTTTTAATTTCCTCCGCACGTTCATGATCACTAATGGCATGACCGACATCTGCTAACTCAGTGGTTATAGACAAATTGTCGTGAGTCAGTTTTTTGTCACGGTAATGGTTATCCTTTATATTCAACATAAATTCAACATCTTGTGCAGTTTTCTGTCGTTCCAATTCCTTGCGTCGTGTTGAAGAGGTGGTCGTAACCGATGAGGAAGGAGAAGAAGATGAAGAAGTGGTTTGGTTTGAAGGCGAAGTTTTGGATTTGTAGGAATTTTTTGGTGGAGTAGGAGGTAAGGCTGCCACAACGGACTTCGAGCTCAAAGAAGAAACATCATTCAGTGGTGCTGACAAAGGACGAGAGTCATTAACAATGGATGGCTTTTTCGGAGGCAAAGACAAATGCTTAGTTTCTTCGCTGACGCTGTTGGTTCCAAATGATGTAGAAGATCTACTGCGTTCTAAACTCGTGGATTCTTCGTCGCCATTGTCCCTGTATTAGTATATAAATTAAAAGTAACGTTTGTAATAAAGACAATTCATTAAATTGATCGAACAAACCCTTCAGTTTTTTTAGGTATAGAACGTTCTCGACTAGACTCGCGAGAATTTTGACTGCGTTGTTTTTTCAACGTGTTTATTTTCCGAGCTCTTTCAGCTAAGCTATCCGAAGAGCGTATGATTAAGTCTTCCGGAATATCTTTCAGCGGAGACGACTTTGAGGATGATGCATTAACATTTGAAGATGTTGGGTTCTCCACCTTTTACAAATTATCGAACACTTTTTAATGTTTCAATAACGTTCAAATGCTATACATACCTCTTTTAAATCTAAAGCGGTGGTATGACGACGAGGTGGCATGGGCAGTTTAACGGTAATATCAGCATCATTTTCCGCAGAGCCTATATTGCCTCCTTTACTAAGCGTTTGCCGATCATCGACATCGTCGAGATCCGGTGTTGAAGTCCACGATTGGGGACGTCTTTTTAGCTCTACATTGAAGTGGACAACTTTTGTTGAATAATACATTTATACCGTTGCACCCCCCAAAGACGGAACACATGCGATTGCACAGTAGTTGTAAACCATTCATGGGTGTTAGTTTTATTGTTATTATATTTTGTTTTAAATTTTGCATTAGCCGGAGGAAGTGAAAGAAGTCGATAAGTATTTGCGAATACAAATAACAATAACAATGGCATTAACGTTATGTTGCGTGTTACGTTTGCGTTATGTTATACAAAAGATTGATGTGTTTTAAACCATTGTCATCGTTCGTTGCAACAGTTTTGAGATGTTTCAGGCGATTGTTATCCAAAATGATGTTCAAATTCAATCATCGAATATCATCCACATCATATAGAAAAGTATCATTGGTGTAGTTTTTTTTTAATATTTATTGGGTTAATTTATGGTGAATGTAAACAAAAGTTTTCAGTGTATTAACACATGATAGTAACAGTGCCATAGAAGAAGAAAAGATAGAAGACAAACATTGACAGATGAGTGAGCGAGACAAAAGATTTGCTAGATGGTTTATGGTGACGCGTATATAAACGTGTAGACATGAATATAAAATTTTTTATGTTATATTTTTTAACTACTTTTAATCAACTTATAATTAAAACCATGCCTTAATGTGTACTTCAACATATTTCATACCGATCTCGTTGTTGTTTGGTGAGGACAGATTTTGCGTAGACGTCCACGTACGTGACGAGGGTCTAAAATCATGATAAGTTGTATTAACGTAATTTGATAACATTGGTTGGTTATTGCTTAAAAACCTCAAATTAAAATTATCGGAAAGATTTGGTGAGGACGCCGCCACATCTTCACTACCTCGCCGTGCGGTATGCTCTTTGTAGTCACGAAAACAACGCTTGCATCTCGTCGGATAACGTGTCTGTGGATGAAAACCTAAGGGACATAGCAGGTCTCCCTTGAAAGATGGATATAAATGATGCATTTATTCTAAAAAATTTTGCAACCTATAAAATAAAAAAAGCAATTTAATAGTAATGATCGTAGAGATCATAGAGAATGTTATTTTAGGGGATCTTGCTATTATCATTTCAGAAAACTAACTTTTTAACCAAATGAAATGAAGGTCGTATTGGCACATGTAACCGTTAGAATTATATAAATTATCTACAGGTAAGTCCGAAAATACTCAATATCTCAAAAAGAAAAGGTGTTCGTATTCGATTTCGACTCATCGCTTGCCCTTTTCGGTTCTTTTTAAATACATATTGGAATCAGTTACAATGATAGACTATGCAATGCTTCGTAGAAAAATACGCGCTACTTTACCTAAAAGTCATCATTTATTGTAAAATATTTATGACATGAACATGATTCTTGATGTTGCCTGGCAGCGTACGTCCATAAAAGTTAGCCAATATGCTTTTGCATGCATTGATAAGTACTCATAAAATTAAGCATTGACTTATGTTTAAGTATTTGCCTTCTTTTTTTCAATCGCAATCAACACGACATATTTAAGTAATTGGCAGCTGAAAATTTTTTGTGACGTGTCTTTTCTGAGTTAGTGAATTAAAAATAATAATAATCGATATAAGTCTTTAGTGATTTCATTATCAAGTGATAATTATGCTATTGTTTTAATTTACTATCTCGTAAACTCCTTTCTTAAAGTATAAAAAAGTGAATTTTACTTTCTTTTACTTCGGGATTTTGGTAAACGGCTAAAACAATATCAGCACGTTTCCCTACGGAAGCAGACCATTTTTTATTATTTGAATATTACTGAAAACAATAAGTGATCGCAGACGGCCGGAAATGATGTTAACTTAGCTCCCTGATCAGCTGACCAACCGGTGCCTAATAATCAGGCTGTTAATAATCCTTCTGATTTGGGTGCCAACGGTATTGTAAACCCTGAAATCAATTTGTACGATTTCGTTACGCAGTGTAGTTTCTTTGTATTTGTTGAAACCTGTGAAAATGTTTAGGAGAAACGTACGACCTCCCGTGCATACCTTAAAGTTTTGAAATGTTTGGCTTAAAAGAGCTCAAAACGACTGGCAAAGGCAGAGCCACATAACTTTTCAAACAGAGCCGCAAACGTATATGCCCAGAATCTGGGCAAAAAGACTCGGTATAGGCCGAAAAATGTCGTTAGTGGTGTTCCTTTAAAGTCTGCTATTAGACCACTAAACAAGGCTTATCCGAACTGAGAGCTTGAATTAGGTCTCAATAAAGACGATGGCTATTGAGAATTTAGCTTATAAAACGTTGAGAGAAAAGTACTCCTCCAGTTGTTTTGAGTGTCTTAACGATAAATCGTATGGTAAGAACTTCTATTCCTTGCTGAATTCGTACACCACCTCCCTAAAAAATGATAATGAAGACGTAAATAAAATCATAACAAAAAAAAAATTTATAGTCTCGTCAAGAGGAAATCTATTACTTTCTCCAAAGCCGTCTGTAACAGTGATTCCTATCAATGATTTGCGTTCTCTTGAATTGGAAAGATTAGTCTCCCTCATTAATGAATTTGAAGAAAACATTTTTTATTGTGCTAATTCTCTTCCAACTGCCTAGTATTTCAATTAAATCCTCTGAGCAGCTTTCTCTCTCTTTTTGATTTTTGAGTTTTACTTGAACTCAAATAATATTGATTTTTGCATCTTAAGTGAAGCTTTCCTGAGACAATGTTTTCGAAGTGAAAATTGGTATTTATACTTCAGCCACCAATGGTGTTAATATCTAGTTGAAAATGAAGGCGTATTTGTTACACATCTGCTGTTGATATTATGATCAACAGAACCATGAATATAAAATCAAATCTTTTCATAGTATCTTGATACTTTTCACTTGGTGTTGACGTACAAACTTTTCGCGATGAAATTCAGAGATTATGCTGAAGAGTTCAGTGCTGCACAATGCTCGTAAGGCGATCAACTCTCGACCAATAAAGGCAAGACCCTTATAAATGCCATTAATGCGAGCAGTTTTAAAGTTTTAAAGTTTTAAATAATGGTAATCCTACCTTTCGCTGTAATCGGAGTGGCGAGTCTTGGCTCTAACTTTCTCTCTTTTTCTCTAATTCAACTATGTTGTCATTCAACTGATACCATACTAGTGTCTCGATTGGTCCATTTATGGCTAAACAAATTCAGACGCTTATTCTCACATTTTTCGAATTATTGAGAGTATAATACGCTTATTCTCGTATCTACATCATTCAAATTAGTTAAAAATACGAGCACTTTATGCCGTAAGGTATTTTTAAACGCAAGTTTGTATTACCTAACTCGTATTCTCATATATGATAACAATTTCTTGTTATCTTTTTGGAAAGAATGTAAATTAAATATGTAATTAAGAAGGAAAAAAAAAATTAGTTTGCATTCAAATACCTTTATGAACGTTGGCAATCGATAAGCGCAGGCACATTAAGAACGTATACGGCTTGGCACTAATAAGCGAAACAATATAACACTTCGCCTTCGACGCTATCTAATTCACTCATACGATGAGTAAGGAGCAATTTTATAAATTATTCATTTTTTGTTTACATTTTCAAATTTTATCTTTTCAAAGTTACTTCATAAACAACATAAACGATATTCACGTTCTCTTCCTCTACTCTATTTGAAATTTGTTTACTTTTGAGAGCAGACAAATATAAGAGCCTAAGAGAAACTACATTTAACTCTGTATAGTCTCTTTTCTAATTACAAAGAGAAATGTAGAAAAGATACATAACAGAAGAATTCTGCGGTCATGTCAATGTGCTTAATTTCTTTAATGAATGAATAAACAAATATACGTTTTTTGTTAGAACGAGATTGAATAAATATATGCAAATGAATAATTAAAAAATTTACTTACGAAAACGTTTGCGTAAAATGTAATTAATATGCAACTTCCCGTGCTGCCCGTTTACTTAGGAAAGGGATGTACGAGTGATTGTTTTAATTTATCGCACAGGTACTCGATCGTGAAAAGGAAGAAATTGCGTAACACTTGTTTTTGCAGTGTGCTGAACTGAACCAAACGATTTTGAACGTAATAGAAATTAATGATTTGCTTTTTCTGGGTTCAGCGTCGTTAAGGAGAAATGCCTGCACTCAATTGAATTTGTTCATATTTCTTTCTTTTTCTTTTTTTATCTTTTCCTTCACTTAGCGTTTCACATAGCGTTTCTTGACTTTAAAAATTTTCTCGTTTCGCATCTTATGGATATTATGGAAAAATGAGTTTCTGTTTCTTTACTTTTGAAACTTTGCGTAAGGAAAGCAAACTATTCACGGAAAAAATGTGCAGTAGCTGTGTTTTAAAAATAGACGGCATTCTTCTTTTCTCAACATTTTCCCGTCAATACTTTTCAGTTTCTTATTTAATTCTATTTTCTTCTCAAATTAAATGCAAACCGCTCTATATTTAAAAATCGAAAATGTATTTTCATTAGAATTCTCATTTAATTTATTCATTTTTTTTTTAATTATTTACCGATATTAAATATTTTTAATTCCAAAAAAACGGGTGAGCTAACGATATATTGATTTCTTTCACACTTGCAAATAGGGCCGGAGATTCTTGTGAGTAAAACGGTTTGCCTTTAGCTAAACGTTGCAGACTTTAAGCACCCGATAGCAAGGACTGAATGCTAAATCTATTTAACAGCGATCAACAAGCTTAACAAATATTTTTTGTAAAGATTTTTGCAAAAAGAGTGTATCACATCTCTTAAAAGAGCGCTTCCTCCCTCAGTCAATTGCACTGTCAGAAATAATTTATTAAATAAATAACATTCAAAAGAATATTTTGCCTTTCGTCTTTATGGTTTGCTAGAGGTGGTGTTCACGCTTTTATATCATATCCGTTAATAATTTTATTTTTTTCAAATATCTCAACTGTAAGATTAACAATTTCGAATTTATGAAAATATAAAATGGTCTCCAAGAAGTGAAAACTTTTTTTTTATGGAATCGAACATTCTGTAACGAAAAACAACGACCGTCACTACGTACATTCTAACTAACCTTTTCAGGAACAATTTTTGTGTGACAGGGAAAAATTTACTTTTTACTCTCACCATCGTAGAATGGGAGTACTTCAGAACACCCTACAAAGTATATGTATTCTCGATCACCGTGGAATTTTGAATCGATCAAGCTACGATCTGTGTGGTTTGTATTATTGACATTCCCCTGGTCGCAAAAACGAACAAATCGTTTTCAAATTTGATAGAAACATTAGAAGTTTTTGCTCTTAGATTGGTATTGAAAACGGGCCAATTCGTCAGAGCACAAGCCCGGGGCAAGGCGTAAAGTGAAGGCAAACCAAAAATTGCCAAAAAAAAAATTATAATTTCCACATTTACGGCTGGTGAGCGTTAGCTCATTATATGGTTCAGACATTCCGGACACACCCGAAACTCCAGAAGGGACATTACAAAGCCTTGCTTATTGAAAAGAATCCATCAATTAACAACAGAGAGATTTAAATACTGAAAAGCTGCTAAAATTTGCCACTTTCTGTAGAGGGAGGACAGTGTGCTTACCTACAGCCCGCATGCGGCAGCGCTGTGTCCGCAGTGACACTAGACCGTGCGCTAAAAGATTTTTGATACATCTTAAATTTAGAAACGTGTCTCTCTAGAGTGACTCTAAGCCAAGCTTTGAAATCTCCGTGATATCTTTCATGCTCACTATTATGCTCACCTTAAAGGACGACTTCTTTTATCAGGACCGACGACTTCTCACCCTAGTAATTTCCCCTTGTCACGCTCTTTGTAATGTTATTGATTTTCATTCCTTCCAGTTCAGAGTTTGCCACCACCTTCCTGCTTTCCCATTGGAATTGACGGTACAATATTTAAATAAACTTACGATTTTCCTCCATAATCAAGTAGTATCAGACTTTAAGACTTACCGGTCTTTATCACCAGCGAATTAAGGTATCATTTTTGTTTCAAATGGCATAGGCTCAGAAGTCAGAGGGCTCTCTCCAACCAAAATCAAAAAAATTTGGACGTAAAAAAGTAAAAGAAATTAATAATATTTTGCCTATAATCCAGCTTCTAAGATCAATAAAAAATTGCTACATTTATGTCCTACCTTGAAGACGTTATAAGCGAAGAAAATTTAAAAAAAATTATTGCCATTTTCCAATATATTCGCAAACTAGAAACAAAAACGAGTAAAAAGATTATAGACGGGGAAAAGCCATGTATTAGATACCCTACACCACTTCGCCTATGTAGCATATAGTCATTCGTTCATTACGTTTATATACAAGCATAGTTTTGATAAAAGCCCTCATCTTAGAGGGCGTCCAAAACGTCGACAAACATTATCCGAATTTATTCGCGTTAATATCCATTCTAAAGATTTGATGATTTTTCATCCGTTTTCGTCACAAGAAACTACAAATTAGATTTTGTCGCCATACGTCTCGGCTTACTTTGCATGAGAACCATGCCATTAACAAATTTACATAATTTGACCTGTTCGCCATATTAAGAGAATGAAGTGTTGATAGGAACCATGATATAAAAATCCGTCCAAGAATTGCTACGTCGTATTAGTCAGCGACTTCCAGGTAATCCCAAAAACTGAAACTTTCTTTCACGCCGTTTTTTGAAAGGTCGTTATATTTGTAGTGGTCAAGAAAGTGGTCCAATTAAACGCGTTTTTACTATGACTCATACTTGGACCAAAACAGTGTACCGAATTTCATCAAAATATGTCAAGGTGTCAAGCTATCCCATTCTTCTCTCAATGATTGCATAAATTATTGTCCAGAAAGCGCAACGCATCTGTTATAGACGATTAATGCTTAAGGCCGTTCATTTATTCTAGGCTTTTATGCCACTGGTTGTTATTTTTCGTGCCCAGTACAATTATTTCATAACTTCGTCCAATAATTCTATTTTTATCGTAAAAAAATCATCACTCAATCATTAAGGAAAGGATGCGTTGACATGCCCAACGATGTGGCTGTATACGATTTTTCTAATCCGACACCTGTCTTTAGCCCTTATCCGAGCAATGGGTGATGCACGAGTTCGAAACAAAAACATCTTTTGAATGTAAACAAATCAATGGGTGGTGTACGAGTTGGAAATCTTTACTTGAACTAATTGATGGAATCGCTCTTTCCTCCAGCATTTTCCATTTCAGAATTTGATGAGTTTTCAAAAATAACATTACATTATATTTATTACACATTAAATTAATTAGCTCGTCCTTACCATCATCAAACAATGTTTATAAAACAATGAAATCAATTCACTCGCGACGATATGTTCTTAAAAATGAACTCATGATCGCAATAAAGTGAAACATATTAAATTATTTCTTCTTCGGGTACAAAGCAGTGAACCACATGTGGCATAAACATTTATTTAAACATAGAAATTCTAATTGGATGGAGCATTCAAGGCCAATATTCACGGGGGTGGGATTCCCCATCACATAGCTAAAAATTCTTCTAATGTAATTTTTAAAAGATTTTCTCAAGAATTTTTGCCCCTGATTGCACAAGGAGGCATCTTTTGTTTATTACTTCTATCAGCTGAAGATTCTTTTGAATTGATTAACCTATCGCCCATAATTTGAGCATTACTATTGTTTGACTTTCTTCGAGCAGAGAACTCTCAGCAGTTTTTCGTTTTGCTGCTGTCAACTTATAATTTTTAAGGCCAATGTAATCTGAATAATTGCATAGGATAATTTCAATGAAGCGGCATTGATTGTCGCCAACGGGTTAGTAGTAACTATCGCTTGCGTGGTAGATTTATTATTGTTACGTAATAAAGCGTCCTCTTTCATGATCCACTTCACACCGACGGGACATGTTTCTAGTGTCCTCCAATGGAACGGTATGCATTGCTTTATTTTACGTTAACACAATATAAAAACGCCAGGTTATAGCAATTAAAACGCATAACAAGTCAAGACATTATAGTCCCACATAGCGGCCCTTCAATGCCACTGGGCTTTTCGCCTAATGCAATTATTCATTCATTTTTAGGATTCATACTTTTGACTATAAACGTCAGTGTACCAAATTTCATCAGAATGTCTTAAAAACTGCATACTTTAGGTTGAACAGAAGACACGCGTACGGCTGGTGGAGCCAAGCTCAGATCGATTCAAAAAATAATTCCGAAGTGATCAATATAATGAATGGTGATCTATCTCATATCCTTCTGTGTTGCATACAGCCGTCAACAAAAAATATACTCTGTATCACAAGTGGTGTAATCTATAAACATCCAGTGCATCAGCGTCTGCGTTCGCACTGAAATAATTTTCAAGACAAGTTGCAGTGTTTCTATATCGCCGTGTGATGGTTACTCCCGGCAGAATCTATAAAATTAAGATATTCCTAACATTGCTTGCCTACCTGTCCGCTACCTATTCTGCAAAAGTATTTTTTGATCAGTTCTTGATCAAATCAATTTTGAAAGAAAATGAGTGCCATCGAGGACCAATAGCTGAATACCAGAACGGAATATTAATTAGTGCATTACAAATTAATTCAAATATCGATGTCAATTTTCGCCACGCCACATAACCTTATCCTAAGCACTTTGTGATTCAATTAAAAAATAACTATATTTTCTGTTTAATTCCAACCTTGTGTAAATTTAATATAATAGTATTACATGCACATCTTATATACAAGCTTTCCTTCTCATTTATTTATTTATTTACTAAATATTCGACTGCAAATCACATCTTAACAGTTAAATTACGATTTACTTAATATATGCGTATGAAGGTAAAACAGGTTTGCATCGAAGTAAGTGTAGAATTATCGTTTATTGAATTTCGCGTTTTCTAAACGAAACGTTAAAAAATCAACTAGAGAACTGAAATGAAATTGCGAATAAAAAGAATAGAGAACCTTTTCTTAAGGCATGTCGCTACCATAAAGACTAGCAAATCGAAACATAAAATCATTTTTTTTCTTATTTAGCGCATTTCTTCTTATTGTGTTTGAAAGTCCAAGAACGGATTTTTCAAACTGTAACGAGAACGGACCACAATTGTGAGTATTTATTGAAAGCAACTCTGTTCTCCCTTTATTCTCAACACATGATACTTTTTTTTATAAAATTTGTAAAGAAAAAAAAAGCAAGTACGGAAAGTCAAGCAGATAGTGACAGTAAAAATTACGATTCCGCTCTTCCATATCAGAGCCTATAAGCCTTGTATTAAGAGAAGTGCATTCAGTAGCGGTCAAAATGTATTACGCGAAATTGAACGTCGCGAAAGTCGAAATTCTCCAAAGTCTGCTTTAGCAGGACACCCAGTTAATGCACAACAAAAGCGGCCATGTGCAGAAAGCAGAAATTTGAAGGACCGAAATCGGGATCGCGGCCACGTCCTGTCTTTAACAAATTCATTAAAAGATGATATATCACCCAAACTACTGCGAATCAATGCATTTAAATTGAATTGCACTGGCCGTTGCCACCCGTGCGGTCACAATTTTGATAATATTTTAATGAATTATGGGGCATAGACATACTTTGGCCCAAGGAAAAAGGGTGTTAAAAATCCTTCGGATCGAATTATTGTTTCAACCACTTTCAACACAAGG